TTTCTAACTAGCATGTTTTGCCTTTTCCCAGTTGCTGTGCAGAATTTATAGATTTGAAGCCCAAGCACACACTTCATTGTTCTTATTGTGGTATCTCATGTACAAAATAAGGCACATGCTGATGATGAGGATGATAATTAAGAAGAAGAAGAAGAAGAAGAAGAAGAAGAAGAAGAAGAAGAAGAAGAAGAAGAAGAAGAAGAAGAAGAAGAAGAAGAAGAAGAAGAAGAAGAAGAAGAAGAAGAAGAAGAAGAAGAAAGAAGAAGAAGAAGAAGAAGAAGAAGAAGAAGAAGAAGAAGAAGAAGAAGAAGAAGAAGAAGAAGAAGAAGAAGAAGAAGAAGAAGAAGAAGAAGAAGAAGAAGAAGAAGAAGAAGAAGAAGAAGAAGAAGAAGAAGAAGAAGAAGAAGAAGAAGAAGAAGAAGAAGAAGAAGAAGAAGAAGAAGAAGAAGAAGAAGAAGAAGAAGAAGAAGAAGAAGAAGAAGAAGAAGAAGAAGAAGAAGAAGAAGAAGAAGAAGAAGAAGAAGAAGAAGAAGAAGAAGAAGAAGAAGAAGAAGAAGAAGAAGAAGAAGAAGAAGAAGAAGAAGAAGAAGAAGAAGAAGAAGAAGAAGAAGAACAAGAATAAGAACAAGAACAAGAACAAGAAGCAGAATTAGAAGATATAAGTGAAATAAACCGACCAGCCCAGATATACAAACAACATTCTTACTTTGATTGAGATAGCCCCATCCGGCAACTGTGCATTTCATGCCACTTCTTAAAAACTCGTTGGGACTAGGTAGGCAGACCGGCTGTACGTAACTGTTGAACTGAATGCCACTACCATTACGTGCTGGTTTAATCTTGACTAATGCAATATCATAATCCTTGGTGTTATCTAGAATATAACAAGAATTAACTTTAGGGAGTAACCTTTTTTTTTTTTTTTTCAGAATTAGATTTTAAGTAACAAGCAACAAATAACAAAAGCTAAAAGGTCAACTCCAGCTCATTTCGGTATCAGCAAGTAAAGGCGATAAGTGGGTCGGAGTGATGTTGACTACACCACCCATCTAGTGCAACTGATCAATAAAAATATTGGTACAACTAATGTTTCTGAGTCCAGGCACACCATGATTGGCCGTTCATTCATGCGTGTTAACCTCTGAGATGCCTTTTTCTAAGTTACAGAGGTGTCAAGTTGTATTGTCTCGATGCTCTCACCGGCGATGATGCGTGATCTAAATAACAGGATGTGACCGATTTTATCGACCACAGAAGATCTAGAACTGGCCCATACTCCCCCTTTCCTTTTATTTCCCACCCCAACCGGCTCAGCCTACGTCCCACGACAGACTGCAGCCTACGTTCTGCGCTTCAGAACTGTTAACATTTTGTGGTCGGCCCTTCTTGTCGGTTGTCAACGCTGAAAACTGAAGAAAAATCATTGTCGCACTTGAAGTCCGAGAAGGCTAGAAAATACACAATGTCACATGCCGCTCAGAACAACGAATAAAACACAACGTGTACCTGTCCACTCACAGGATGTCCAATATGTCAACTCAGCTCAACACAATGTGACTCCCCTCTGTTTGACTAGCACGTGTGAAAGGCCAGCCAGCATCAATGAAAGCCCAGTTACGCTCTATTTGTGCCAGCAACTTGAACCAAAATATTTGGTTCTAGCCAGGGCTTTTTCTTTTTTTTTTTAAATTTAAGTACTCACCACAAAGCTTAAAAAAAATGATTTAGTCTTAGGCTTAGTCGAGATTTCAACTTCACTGCAATCAGGTCAACCAATACTTGCTTTGTTCATTTGCCAGCGAAAATCAAATGAAATGCCCCTCACTGTCTCATTTGAAAAAATGGTAACAAACAATTAATCCCGGAACCAAATACAAATATGCGCATGCAGTAAATGCAAATTCAGTTTCTAAGGGCGCAAAGGCAACAATCGCCACCAATCGCCACCAGACATGCAGTTTGTTGTTGATGGAAGTAGTCGGGCACAGTAAGTTGGCTACCATTTACACGAAGAATTATTACATAAGTAACCCTTTAAAAAAGTATCGATGCTGACCTCAGTGTCTGTAACATAAGCACTGGAAAAAAATTCCTTAAAAATTGCCAGTACTGCGTACTGTCCTGCACTGCCTGAAAAAAAGCCCTGAATTTAGCACCAAACGCCCGATATAAGTCTAGTACCTCTGCCGTATGTTCGATCTACCACTGTCTTGTAAAGAGCTTTAATGAATAGTTCAACAAACTACATACCCTCATACAGTTCATGTACAATGACTTTTTGAAGAGCGAATGCTTGTTCCCCCAGGTCTTTCACCGTCTGATCGTGCTCGCCAACAATTGCCACCATCTTGTCCAGTTGTTGACCACTAAAGAAGTAATAAAATACATCAAATAGTGTTTCAGATAAACAGCACCAGTATCATGACTAGTTAGTAGCGTATCTTTTACAGGACGTTGCAGAACCAATGCCAGCAGTGTGTGTGTGTGTGCGTGTGGCTGTTATGGTTTTTCTATAATAATAAAGAACACGTCAGACTCTCTTGCCGCAGACCTGACTTCGACCCCCGGTAAGATGATGGAGTTTTTCTTCAGGGGCACAATTAAATATCCTAAGATGCAAAGTCCGCGGTGAAAGCACCAGCCAGGCGGCCCTAAATCCTTAAGCTCATGGCCTCCATGTCTACATCGCCCTAAAAAGTAGCAAAAGAAGACAGTAGTGACAGTAAAAACACAGTACAGTAACAGTGGTTTTTCTAGGCAAATGTTACGTTCAGTAGTTTGTCGTTGCTTACTTAACGGTCAGCTCTCGATACCACTGTCGAAACCTACGCAAGACAAATAGTCTGCAGCTGGGATCGAACCAGGTACTCCGGCATTACGCAGCGCGTTCGCAACGCCTAAGCAGTATCATTAAGTGAAGTCTAAACCTTTGCGCTTAGGTATGTTCCAGAATTAAGTCTTACAGCACCATCATGAAATAAATTAAACTTGTTATATCCGGCAAGAAAGGTTAAAGTAGTTATTTTTAAGCCTGAAAAAGAAAAAAAAAATATGGCTTTACTCCGAATAACGGGCACATATTATGGCGGCCAAAAACAAGGCCTCTGTCAAATGTAAATTGCGTACTTCCGGCGACTACCGCCACCGCCGAGTGTATCCCTTACGCCACTCACGCGGCGTGGATTAGGGCTAAACTAGATGGCTGGGACTCACGAGCTAAGCTGCAGGAGATGCCGAAGCTGCTGTGTGTGGGGGATACTCTCGGCGGCGGCGGTAGTGGCCGGAAGTTCACAAATTAAGTCACCGGAAAGGCGCAATTGACACGTGACTGGGGCCCTGTTAGGTTGTTTTTGCGGCCGCCATAATATGTGCAGTAAAGGCAACATATAAAGACATGAAATATATATATTTATAACACCATAGGACCCAAGGGGGGTATTTAGAGATTTAGTTATAATGACATAATGTAATAGTCTAATGGATCAATAGATGAAGAAAAGACGCTGGCGTTGGATCAGACACACGTTGATAAAACCTGAAAAAATATAACTTGAATGTTTTGCACTGGAACCGATAGCGACATTTAAATTAAGGTAGACCATAAACACACGGAGAAGGAAACTAGACAGTGAAGTTAAAAATGAGGACAATGAGTGAGCTGCATGCGATAGCAGAAGACAGACCAACTCAGCGTAAGTTAGTTGAGGGTCCCACTGGAAAAGGGGAGGGGTGGGGTGTATAGGGCAGAAAAAAACTGAATGTAACAGTCGTAACAACAGATAAGTTAAGAAAGGTATACTGTCTTTGGTTCTTATAACGAAGTTTCCCGCACGACGAAAGTTCCTTCCTCTCTCCTTTCAGCCCCGGCTAATCGCACGGTCTGTCAAATGTTGTAGGTGTGTCATGAATTCCTGAAGTTTTTTAGCCGTTCTCTATTTGTATGTGTTGTCATCGCTCACTTGCGTGATTATTTCCACGTCGTGCTACATGCCTGACGTTCGTGGGTATCGAAACTAGGATGTTTTTGTATTTCTTTGTTTCTTGTTAGTGGCTTTCGAGCCGCCACCAAAGAGCCTGGAAATACAAAAACTCCCCCAGTTTCGATACCACGAACAGTCTCGCCTTTGGAGCTTTCCCCTGCAGCCCTTCTTACTTGTACACAGGTGTCTGGGCGCCTCAAAGAGACTCACGACAACGCAACCTCTAATGCAATTTTTTTGCGTCGAGCGAACACCGAACAAAGCGATATCATAACACCCCAAAACAAAGGACAGGCTGTGCGACCGGCCACGGCCTAAATGAGTGGTGGGGGAGGGGGGGGGGGGGCTTGACGTGCTGGCAAGTTCGTGATAATTTCCTAGTCTTTGGCCTAACCAGTAAACGTATGGCAATTTGCTTGCTACCGAAAGAGTTGACTCATTACAAACATTAACCAGATAGAGTAATCAATGGGGTAATTTCAATTCCAACTTCATAGCAAACGGATCACACCATATTTGCTCCATTCCTGTGGTTACGAAAACCATTCCTAATGTCCATCACTGACTTCTGAAAACAGTGTATTGATTATCACTCAGCGGGGGATTTGAGCAATGGAGTAAAGGATTGTGTGGCTAGTGCAATCGCCACGAGTCATTAGTTTCCGGGAACACCTCTCCGATATTGACAAGAAAACTCTTAAACCAATCCCTTTCCATTTTAACAGCTCTTATCACCGAGGTAAAGACGAGATGTCTTTCACAGCTTTGCAGTCTTGCTCTGGCGATCATACCACGCGCCGCACTTTGGAAAATCGCCTCATCCACAGCTTAGGAGTTCTTAGTCCACGTTAGGATTTTATTCCCCCCCCCCTCCCCCCCCCACTTTCCACCTCATACCCCTTGTTTTTCCGTTAGGAAACACACTTCCGCCACCTTACCGAGAATTCAAACTTGGAAATCCGGCAAATGAGAGTTCAGCGCTCTCAAGTTCTGGACAAGAGATCCACAAACTAGTGCAGCAACGTTGCGATCTATCGATCAGTTTCACCCCTTTGGGCTTTTGTGCTTTTGTGAGGTATACCATATACCATCCCGAAATTAAACGATTCCTAATCCTGATGGCACACTAACATGACGGATCCCAGATACCCTGTTCAACCTACAAAGAAGTTACAATTAGATCACTCCTAACGGCTACACCAGACGAGTTTAACCTACAGTCGGTTTTTACGATAATGCCTCAAATATGCCTAGACGGTATACTGGATTGCGAGCGCGGATTCATCTGTTTGGACACATCCTGAACTTAGTGAATGTAAAGGCAGCAGAGTCTGTACAAATCTTTGTTTTCATTTTTTTTTCTGGTCTTACTCATCGGCGGAAAGCACTGACATCATCTTTAGGAAAAGATTGCGTGGTCAAGCGTCTGTCTGATTCACGATAGTCAGCCCTTTGACGCTGCGCATGCTCTGTAAGTTGGTTTGGAGAAAATAAAATTTGCTCTGGATCCCGTGTTAGCTGACAATAAACAGCTGGTGAATACAAGGAGAGAGGCAGAGGTATTAGGTGCTGAAGGTTCCAGGTTCAAACCCCGGTGAGGGCTGGGATTTTTTTCACCTTGTCTCTGGGTAATAAGATCGGACGCCCGTGTGTATTCTTGCACAGGTTTTAAAAAAACCTTGGCAGTTGAAAATCGAAAAGAGTATCCTAACGGTGCTGCCCGGGCAAAATTTTGAGTTAAAAATCGCCGGTGAAATGGAGTTTGTGCACTGTACTGAGTCACTTCAGACTCATCTTGAGTTAGAAGAAGAACAGAGCACTTATGGGTTACACCCGTATGCCATCATGTTGATCCGTCGAATAAACATAAACATACTGTACTTACTGAAAACAGTGGGCCGCGCTGAGCAACCAGTATGGGTTGATGATTGCGCCGCCGCAGTGGTGATATCCAAACATGACACCTGTTTCAGTGTAAGGACGCAGCAACATGTGAAATCGCACCTGCCATGGGTATGAGCCATGCTGGACGAAGTGGCCCCCAATAATTCTACTTTGGTGCAATGAGGGTCTCAGTTTTGAATCATCATCATCATCATCGTCATCATCTTCAGTGACTTCAGTTGGTTCTTCCGCACGAGTTTGTAATATCGGTGCAAAATCTAAGGGACGATTACCGCACGTTCCTATAACTGAAAAAGAAAATAATGACAGTGATAGGTTATATTCTTATCAAAGCTATGCTATCAGTCAAATCTGGACACTGCCTTTAGAAGACACTAGTAAAATATTCACGACAGAAACTGAAGGTTTACCTACTCTGCCAGGTTCTATCAAGGAAAGATCGACTTAGGAACGATGATATAAGGAGACTAGCATCAAACAGGGTGTGACACAGTTGTATCTTCACATCCCCTAAGAAATAGATGTGCCTAATTCCGACATAGTGTATTATGGATATAGTTAGTAGCTCTCTTGAATCTTATTTAACAACAAGGCCAGTGATGTAACAATTACACAAGAGTTTGTTTATTAACAATATTGTCAAGACAAACAGGATGAATCATTTCAATAACCAATAGTATAGGAACACTTCATTATCTTGTTACTGGCTATACTTATGTCACTCTGTGAGTTCCTTAATCACTGTTCTAGCTAAATTCCAAGTTTAACATCTCTCTTCTAAGGAAGCACAGCTCTAGTTTTCCCAACTGCCCTCGTAAGCCGCTCGCTCTAACTGTCTTGTCTGCTCCCTCCAGCCGCTCGCCACTAACTGTCCCCACTGCTCATCGTACCCTCCCCACGTTTCCTACTCTCTCCGCGTGGGTTCTCAATCACTCCCTGTCATCTGTCTCTGGTGGTCACGTTTGGATAAACGTATCTATTCAACTGGTCACAGTGCATCTGGTTTATCTGTATCGCTGGTCGGGCCAGCTATCTAATCACTGTTTTCTGTCATGCCAACCAGTGAGGGATTGTCGTGCCTAGATGCTGTTCTGAAATGTATGCCTTCTTAAATTAACCCCTTCTGTCCGCCTTCCTACTTCACTTCAGATGTACAATCAGTCAGTTACTGGTGCCATCGGAATTGGAACTTTTCTCTGCTGCTAAAGATGGAGATAGAGCGCTTATAGGTTTGTCCCGAGTGCTCTGATGTCGACTCTTAATTCTATTCTTCCTATTTCACTTCAAGGGCACCACAGAGAGCAATGTTATACAAATACAACGGTAACAGATCCAGAGGTCGACCGCGTAGAAAAGGGACGGCAGAAATATCAGAGACACTAGCAAGTGCTTTAAACGAAACGAACAGAAGCGCCTGCTCCGGAGATGTCTTCCTGCCCTGCCGTCGCGTGTCATTCCAGTAGTAAGAGAAAAAAG